TATAGGAAGAGTCCCTGGATGAGTAATCGAGGCTGAATTTACGCATAGTGGAGTCTGATTAGCGCAAGTGGGCAATCCAATCGACATTTGGGATCGTGAAGTATGGTGATGAGACTCCAGAAATCCCGGTGAATCTCGGCCGCCGCTCTTGATCGTGGGTTTTGAACCTCTGGCCGTGGAGACGCATTTATGGCCTGGATAGCTGGTGAACCAACATCTCAAGCTGTCAGAAGTCTTGTGAGAATGTCCACGTCTAATCACTCTGATCTTCATCACCAAATCCCGACTTCAGTCACTTCCCACCTTCCCTCATGCATTAAATGCTACTTTGTGGCCAATGGGTTTTGTTGCATTAAACAGGCACTATTTCATTAAATGAAGCCTGGGACCCTGCTGTCACGTGATGATTTGCCTTTAATGCCTTGGCCGCAAATTTGTTCGGCCTCGGCCTCGGCCTATGCTTGAGGCCGAGATGATCATGCCTTAGCATTTCCTTCTTTTATTTTTTAAGAAGGCGAAGTACCCTGGCGAAACGCTGCGTTTCAGTCTCTGCAAACAAGTGCCAGGGCCAAGAGAAAGGGCTCCTTCGGCCAGCTCATGACCGAGATTTATCAGGCACAAACATAAAGAAAGAACAATGAGCAAAACTCCACTGACATTTTAATCCAAGCTCACTCCGATTAATGTATTAATCAGCTATAGTGTTATTTTAATTAACTAAGCCAAAGCCAAAGCGGACTTGATTTCAAATTACAATGTGTGGCTCTGTTTTGGTCATCTATTTGCAACGTACAGCTTCTCCTTGTAAATTGGGGGTTGGATTTGCCATCCACATCCTCGCAAACATTCCTCATATCCATTATCTACAACTCTTTTCTCATACACGATCATAGAAAAAGGAAGCTTTGACTTCCCTGCCACGAAACTTTACGATGAGATTCAACCCTAAATAAATATACTCTGGCTTAAGAATTTCGTGAGAAATTATCTTGTGTAATCGTAATACCTAATGTAATATTAAGATTAATACTAATCTATCCAAAAATATCATTGGTGGAAGATTTATATACTTTATCTATAGTATTAGTATCTATAAAGATTTATATACTAAGCCAAAGTCATATATATAGGAGTTGTTCTGTAATGTGGATGTCCATATTTACTAATGTTCGGACTGTTGAAGAATATCAAGTCACATATTGGAAACTTAACTAAATAAATTACAACTTTTAATAAGTGGTTCCACTCTTAATAACACCGAG